GCAATAATTACACTTTCCCATGGAATAGATTCCTCTGTTCTCATGCCTTTGAAAAGGAGGCCCCCTCATCTCTTCTGTCATGCCTGGAAGCCCAAGTGCTGAAGCACCTGGCAGAAGGGAATGACAACTTGAGCATCCATCATTCCTTCCAAGGCCCAACAGACATTTTTTTTTTCATGTCCAAGAAAGCAAAGTTTCAGAAAAGTCTCTGCCTTCAAATTAACTTTTTTTTTTTAAAGGGGAATTTAAGTTGGGGGAAGGGGATGAAAAACCCAGGACAAGCAAAACTATTCCACAGAACAAGGAAGAGATGAACTCATCTGGGATGAAGTAGCCAGAATGAGGAAGATGACCATTTGGCCACTTCTTGTTTTAATTAATTATTCTTGCTAACTATATGTCAAGTTCAGTTGTCTCTACTTGCTGTAGAAATGTAAATACTGTCAGTACACTTTAAATATCCAAACCATGGGGCAAAGTCCAGATCATCCTGTCCTAGTTATGACTCTGCAAAGGTGAAGGATCTTGATATCTGCATCCAAGAGAAATGTTGGTTGCAGGTCCTAATCCAATCCAATAAATATTTATTAAGTACCTGTTATATAAAAGGCACCTCACTAAGTTTTCGGGATTTGTTCTGTTGTTTCAGTCTTATCCAACCCTTCATGACCCTATTTGGGGTTTTCTTGCCAAAGATACTGAAGTGGTTTGCCATTTACATTTTACAGATGAGGAAACTGAGGCAGAGTTAAGTGACTTGCCCAGGGTCACACAGCTAGTAAGTGTCTAAAGTCACATTTGAAATCAGGAACATGGGTCTTTCTGATTCCAAGCCCAGTGCTCTAGCCACTGTGCAACCTAGCTGCTTCTAGGCATACAAAGACAACAAAAAACAATCCCTCCTCTCAAAGAGTTATGTTCTCCTAAGGGTATAAAACTTGAGGGGGAACAAAGTGCATACATGATAACCTGAGGAAGGCAAAAACACTAACAAGAAAGTGATCAGGAAAGACATCATGTTGAAAATAATAATAACTAACATTTATACAGGACTTTAAGGTTTTCAAGGCAACTGACATTTTATTTCATTTGATCCTTGTGAAGTAGATGCTATGATTATTCCTATCTTACAGATGAGGAAACTGAGGCTGAGAGGGGTCAAATGACTTGCCCAGGGTTCCACAGTAAGGTAAATTTTCAAGGTGGGATTTGAACCCAGGTTTGTTTGACTCAATCCAGCCCTTAATTTATATGAACTGAGCTTTGAAGGAAGCTAACAATTTTAATGGTTGGAAGTGAGAGGGAGTGTATTCCAGACATGGAAGATAGCCTGAGCAAAAGTACACAGATGAGAGTAGTGCTACATTCCAGGAGCAACTGGGATTGTCAGTTGTCTTGACTTTTGTCCTGCCACTGAGCTTCGATGACTCAGGAAGAGAGAGTGAGGCTGATGACTTTGTGCAACTCTGCCTCACTTAAATCTAACTCATGAACAAGTCAAGACATCACCAGTAATGTCATTGGTCTTCTTCGAAAATGAAGGATGAACAACAACTATGTAAGATGTTCCAGGAACTGAAAGTAGGACACTTTTTGTGTAAAACAGAGTGCTTAAAGGGGAATAATGTTCAGGAAGCCTAAGAAGGTAGACTAGAAGCCATACAACGAGGGGCCTTAAATGCCAATTTGATAAGTTTCTATTTTACCCTAAAGATAAAGAAGATAGGGGATGTCTACCTTGCCTTTCCCACTCCTACCTGCCTCCTACCTAACTAGCTTTTACTCATCCTTGAGGTCCAGCTCAAGTCCCATCTTTCCTATGATATTTTCCCTAACCTCCTCATCTGAATACTGGAAGCATTTACTGTCTCTTCCATTCATCTGTTATTTAATGCACATGGTCTCTCATTTCTCTTGTAATATTCAGTATTATTTTTCAATGATGTTCATTGTGCCACACTGTTTTCTCTTTTCTAAAATTTCATTGCACTCAGTGGGACATCTGGGGCTTCAGGGGACAAACCCCCAAATTTTTTGGCAAGGGGAGAGATATAAAGACAAGGTCATAGCATGTCACCTGCTGAAAGTGAAACTATTAAGAACCAACATAACAAGAATGAGATATGATGAAAAATGCTCTCTACATCCAGAGAAAGAACTGATGGAGTCTGACTACAGATCAAAGCATGCTATTTTCATTTTTTTTTCATATTTTTTCCCTTTTGGTCTGTGACTTCTTTTACAACATGACTAATATAGAAATACGGTTTACATGATTGCACATATATTACCTATATCAAATTACTTACTGTCTTAGGTGAGAGAGTGAGGGAGAAAATTTGGAACTCAAATTTTTTATAAAATGTTAAAATTTGTCTTTACATGTAATTGGAAAAAATAAAATGCTGTTAAAAAAGAGTGAGATAAGCCGCCCGTGGCAACCTTTGTAGGAATTAAACCCCCCCCACCAATGGGGTATAAATGTGTTTCATAAAAGACCAGGCTATCTCTCAAGTCCTTATTGAGGAGACCAGTGTGGGAATTTGAAATTATTTTGGAGTCAGAAGCCTTGAGTTGGAATCATGACCCTGGCACTTACTAACCTTACTACTTGAGGGACCCACCATTTTCTAAATCTTATGTGGAATAGTAGATAGAGTGCTCAACTTGGAGGTCAGGAAAACCTGGGTTTGAATCCTGCCTCATTAATTTACTAGTTGTGTGACCCCGGGCACCCCTCTATGCCTCAGTTTCCTCATCTGTAAAATGAGGATGTTGGTCTTGATGGTCTATAGAGCTCTTCCAGCTCTAAATCTGTTTTCCCATGTACTAGTGGCCTAGGTCAATAGGGATAAAGTATGTTTTGTATTATGTATTTACTTCATGTAGTGAATAGTTACACAGGATTTGGAGTCAGCTCTGGCTCTTTGAGACTCTCACCAAGTCACTTTACCTTCATGAGATTTGATTTTCCATCTGTAAAATGGGTATAATAATACTTGTTCTATGTACATCACAGGGGTTGGTATTAGGCTCAAATAATAAAACCATATATGTAAAGTATTTGTGAATGTTAAAGCACTCCGTGAGGTTCATCTCTTTCCAATTTTTAGAAGTTCAGCAGTGGAGCCCTTCTGCAGAGCGAGGGGTCCATAAATGTTTGAGTGATGAGCTAAACAGATCTTTTCCCAGGAGATCAGGTGACTAGGCAGTGTTTCCCAGGGCTCAGGCCAGCGCTGCTCCCCTTCCATCCCCCAAGGCAGAGTTTAAAAAAAAAAAGGCAGGAGCTGGGTTCTAAGGGGGGGTGGGGATCAAAGGCCCCAAGGAGCGGAATTCCTCACCCAGCTGACCACCCCCACCCTCCTCTGCCCTCCCCCATCCCATAACAGCTCACCACCCACTTTCCCAGGAGTTGTTTCAGTTTTTATTGGGGAAGTCAATGGCAAAAGTGCCTCTCCTGGCAAGAAAAGCACTCACACACTCACACAAACAGACACACACATTGTCTCTGGTGGGCACCGCTGCTCCCTAGCATCCCTGGAGATCTCTCAGCATGATTAGGGCTTGAATTTCTTTCCAACACCAGGGATTTTCAGCAGCAGGTTAGAACCTCCCATCTCTGTGGATGTCAAAAGGTATAAACTTTACAGTCAGCCCCACTGTCCTCATAGTTTTCCAAGGAAAGGGAATTTGGAGAAAACTAGATATGCTCAGGCCCAAGGGGTTCCCAAGATGGGAGTCCGTAGAGTTCAAAGAGCAGTGGGCTAGCTCAGGAAGCCCCAACCCTGGTCTCAGCTCTATCATCGTTTACTAGTTCTTTGATCTTGGGCAAATGGCACACACAGCTTAGCCTCTCTGGGCCTCAGTTTCTTTACCTGTAAAATGGGGATAATGACACCCTCCACACACACGTACATACACTGTCTTTCTCAAAGGGTTGTTGTGAGGAGCCAATGAGGTATATGATGATACTTTGTAAGCTGGAAAGTACTATATAAAACCTAGAGGCAGTTAGATGATGCAATGGACAGAGTGCTGGACCTGGGATCAAGAAGACCTGAGTTCAAATCCAGTTACTAGCTGTGTAACACATGGCAGGTCACTTAACCTCTGCCTCAGTTTCCTCACCTACCTCTCAGAATTGTGAAGATTAAATGAGGTAATAATTGTAAAGTGCTCAGAATAGTGTCTGGCACATAGTAAGCATTATTTGAATATTAGCTATTATTATTATTATTATTGTTATTATAGGGCAGCTGGGTGGCAAAGTGAATATAGTGTCAGGCCCAGAGTCAAGAAGACTTATTTTCTTGAATTCATATCTGGCCTCAGACATTTACTAGCTGTGTGACCCCGGGCAAGTCACTTCACCCTGTTTGCCTCAGTTTCCTCATATGTAAAATGAGCTGGAGAAGGGAATGGCAAACTACTCCAGTATCTTTGCCAAGAAAATCCCCAAATGGGGTCATGAAGAGTTGGATATGACTGAAAACAACTGAACAACAAAAGCATTATTATATTTGTAAAGACTTAGTACAGCACCATAATGGATGCTTAGTCTCCTCACCCCCTGTAAAGGTCAGGGATTATGATGACTGTCCTACTGAGCTGGTATTGATGCTGGTACTTCAGCTTAATGACACAGGTAATCCAGGATCTTTCAAATGCCCTACTAGGTCTGGATGGGACGGGCAGGATGATCTCAAGGGGTTCTTATCAGATCTGGTATGCTATACAGTAGAAAGAGTATGGACATTGGACATTGGGGTCAGAGGAATTGAGGGCAAAACCTTGGATGTGTGGAGGCAGGGTAGTAGAGTGGAAAGAATTCTTCGAATATGTCCTTGGGCAAATCACTTAAAACCCTCTTGGCTTTGGTTTCTTGTCTGTAAAGTGACGGGGTTTGGACTAGTCGACCTTTTAGGTCCCCTCCAGTTTTAGGTCTACGAGCGTATGACTACTCTATCCTGATGACTGAGGCAACGATGCGTCTCCTTTACCCCAAATAGAGGCGCTTCTTGGAAAGCTCCACCAATGGGAATCTGAGGTCATTCAGCACTTGCACCTTGGTGATGGAGGCCAGTGGCTTGTGGCGGTGCTCATACTGTGCCACCTTGCTCTCTTGGATGAAGACATGGAAATACTCTGAATCTGAAAAGATTTCAATCTGAAAGACAGGCAGGTTAGTGCAGGCCCCTGGCAGTGAAAGTCTGTCCCCTCCCTGCCCCAACAATCTTATCTCTTATTGACAAGCTAGTGCTGTGCACTCAGTGGGGGCTTTAAAATGCTAGTTGAATGATTACAAACATAAACAAATGTTACCTTTCCCCAACCCCATAGAGGGGAAACACAGTATAGAGGATAGATGATTATCCTTGGAATCTAGAAGACTTGGGTTCGAATCCTACCTCTGATGAATACTGCCCCAGAGAGGTCTCTAAAACTTCAAATTGCAGAGCAGCTGTCAATCTACACTAGTAGAGGGATTTTCTGGAGAGAAGGATTCAAGGACAGGAGTTCCCTATACCAATAAAATCACAGATTCCCAACCAAAACAACAACAAAATGAGACTAGAAGAAGATCCTTGAGAGAAAGGATGTCTTTTACTTCTTTGTATCCCCAGTGCTTCAGGGGCCCCTAGGTGATGCACTGGATAGAGCAGCAGGCTTGGAGTCAGGAAGATCTGAGTTCAAATCCTGCTGCACACACTCTCTAGCTGTGTGACCCTGGGCAAGTCACTTAACTCCTGTTTGCTTCAGGGGTCACATTGGAGAAGAAAAAGGCAAACCACTCCAGGATCTTTGCAAGAAAACTCCATGGAGAAAAGTCCATGGGGTCATGTAGAATTGACATGACTGAACAACAACAATAATAATCCCTAGTGCTTTAGCACAGTATCATACATACTTATAGTGGGGGTTCCATAAATGTTGGTTGATGATAATGAATAGGATTAGAACCTCTTGGTTGGTCCCTTTCTCATAGGACAGGTACCCAAGGTCACACAGCTCTTAAGTGTTTAATTTCACAAACCAAGGCACCAGGAGGTCAAGGTACTGAACCCAGGGTGGAGGGCAAGACAGCAATCAACCATCAGAAGGTGGCCAGACTTTTAGATCTCCCACCCATTAACACATAAACACCCTTGAAATCTTCCCGGGCTAACTTCACCTAATTAATTACCCACAATTTGGGCACTTAGAGACAGATGTCAGTTTTACCTACCAAGATAACAGTAGAGATACCATAGTATATACTGAGATAGGAGCCTTTCTAGTATCAGGAGGTAGGAAGAAAAAAATGGCCTCTAAGATATGAAGAGGAAAAAGATAAGTGAAAGACTTCCAAGCACACTGAATGACACTAACAATATCTTTCCACTATGCATACTGTAGATAACTATTTAGAGGGAAGAGCCATGATATAGAGGGGAATGGGCTGGGCTTATGTTTGATTTCAGGTTCTACCACTTAGCAAGTGGTGTGAGTGTGGGAAAATTGCTTTAACACGCTGAGCCTCATGAGGTCTCCTTATCTGGAGATGGATGACAATTGCTGTACCACCCACTTTACAGGTTTTAAGGGAAAAGTGTGTTGTAAATGGTCAAGTGCTACATAAATTCGAGTGATTATTACTGAATTCCTACCCCAAAGTTTGTCTCTGGGCTCCCCTCTTGCCCACCAGTTGGCCTTGAGAGGACTCAGTCATACGTATTCTGTGGGATTTTGAAGGGGACTGTTGAATCTCTGAAAAATCATCTTTGTCTATCCAAACCCCATTCTTCATAGGGAGGGAGAGAGCCTCTTTCTACCTCGAATGGTTCCTTTAGCTCCAGAGGGAAGACACTGTAAACTTCCTCTTCACCCCAACGACTGCCCTGGAAGGAGTTGCAGACCAAGGTGCCATTGGAGAATCGAGGTTTGAAGTGGAAAGCAATTTCACCTGACTCAGAGAGGAAGTTTATTTCAAACCTATAAGAAAGGAAAGAAACTGCAGAGTGGCAGGCATTTGACCCCATTACCCTCCCCCACTCCCTTAATCCCTTAGACCCTTTTAGACCCTATAATTGGTTCAGTCCTGAGGCATAACTGAGGTCCTCCCAAAGACACCCCCATCTGCAATGGCACCCTGCCATTGTCTTCCGTTTCCTTTTGGACTCTCTGGCAGGTGGAAGGGAAAGGCATGAGGAAAGAAATTTCTCTTACTCATCATCTTTGGAGTTGGACTGACCCTGGACGATCAGACTCCAGCCTGGGACCAGGCCCCCTGAGCAAAAGGCTTCAAACTGTGAATGGAAAGAGAGTGGGGGGAAATGCTGGGGTACAGACAGGGGTCCTCCTTTTCATCCTCCAATCAATCCATCAACAATCAATAAGAATCTATAAATGATTATGATATACTAGTAGTAAGAATCTAATGGGAAAGAAAGACAAAAACAGCTTTGGCCCTTAAGAAGCTTACATTCTGAAGGGGCAGACAACACACATAGAGTAGGTGTAAAGTAACCTTATTGGAGAAAGCTCAAACAACTGAGACAAGTGACAAAGGCCTCCATTCATTCATGCACTCAACAAACATTTTTTAAGGGCACACCATTTGCTAGGCATTGGATATATAACAAATATCTCACATTCTCCCTTGTACTACACTTATGTGGATAGGTATGTGTGTGCCTGCTTCCACTGAAGTCATCTTCCAATTATTGGCCATGGCATGGAAGTGACCCAGGTTGTTGAAGGTTCCACCAATGGGGCACAAATTCTAGCTCATACTACCAAGATAAAAAGACTTCGCTTATGGACCTACCAAGATAAAAAGACTTCGCTTATGGACCTACCAAGATAAAAAGACTTCGCTTATGGACCTCCGCTTATGGAGATGTCAGGATTTGCAAATGAATTGGATTTAAGTAAGGGAGTGCTGTGCAAAGTCACCAGCTTCACTCTCTCCTCTGGAGCCATCTGGGTACAGTGGCAAGATATAGATCAAGACTGTCTGGAGATGGCCCTGGATGACCTCTCATTGGATGGACTCTCATTGAAAGACTAGCCTAATAAAGGATGAAAAGACTCATCACCAAAAGATTGGCCACCAAGTCATGACTTTTTCCCCAAAAGGATCTTAGATCTATGTTTTGATAATCCGATGAAAATGAAGTCAGGTGTTTCCCAACTTTGTCTCTTACTTTCTTCACAACCCTACTCCTCTCCAATACTAGTCCTCTCCAGGCCTCAGTTTCCTCATCTATAGATATAGGTATAATGATACTTAACCTACCTCACAGAGTTGTTGCAGATGGTTTTTAAAGTGAATTTATTATTTAAATGTATCATTTCATATTTAAATTTTAATTTCTAAATGAAATTCATCATTATTTAAAGCTATTATTATTTGTTGAATAATAATATAAGGCTTTACAAGTTTTTAAAAAACCTTCACCGCTAATCTCTCTTTTGATTCCCTTCCCAAGCCCCAGCTATTGGAATAGACTGGGAAAAAACACTGACCCTTAGGCAGACCTGGATTCTGGGTACTCACTAGCGACTTACTTAACCTTTGAGCCTTCACGTCCTCATTTGTCTCATTTGTGTGAATCAAGGATAATAATACACCTGTCACCAACATTACACACCAGTAATGATGGAAACGTTAAGAAAGCTTTAAATCAAAGTGAGGAGCTATTATGGATGTGCTTCCTAAAAGATAAAATGACTCTACAAGTATTAGTCAATCAGTTCACCAATCATGTGGGCCTTGGCAAGTCATGGAATTTATCTGAGCGTGAGAAAGCTCGATTAAAACCTTACGTTATACACTGGTTTCGATCTGCATGAGTGGATCGCCTAGGAAATCACATTATTATTGCTATGACCCCATTCATCTTCTCCCTCTCACCCAACACACGCTTGCAAACAGCTGCACAGATGCAGACACAGACACGCAGACACCCACACAACCCACGCGCACAGCGCTCCCACTCGCACACGACCTTTCCCAGGAGATCACCTCCACCCCGCCCTCCTCCGCCCCCCAGCTCTCCCCTTCTCCACCCCTGCTGCCTCTTCCCTGCTTTAATGACTCGGGTGGGGGGGGGGTTGGGGGAAGGCCGGAGGGGGCAGGGCCGGCGCGGCCAAACGGCCCGGCCTCCGGTCCAGCGCGGAGGGCCGGCGGGACATGTGCCCGCGAATTCTATCGCAGGCCTGCGAATTGCGAGCCAGGGCGTCGGCCCCGGGTTCTCACGCGGCTGGGGGTCGGGGGTGGGAATGAGGGTTGCCCAGGCTGAGCAGCTGCCCGAGCCAAGACCAAGATAGCTCCCAAATCGCTGAGTTTGGCCGCGGTCCCGGGGTCAAAGGAGGCGGCGCCCAGGCCTCCCTCCTCCTGTTCCCCCTCCCCGAGGGGTTAAGGTCCGAGCGGACGCCCAGACGCCCGAGCCGCTGCTGGCCAGGCCTCTTTCTTTCGCTCCCGGCTCCAGCCTCCGCCGCCTCGCCAGAGCCTCCTTTCCCACGCTCCGGCTCAGACCGCAGCCAGGGGCAAGAGCCAAATGCTGCCCCGCCTGCCTTTCACAGCTGCCCCTCCCCTTCCCCCGAGGCGGCAGGGGCCACCAGGCACGCGAGCTGCTAAACACCAGCCCAAAAGGCAGCTTTCGCGCCGCGACGTTTGGTTCCTCCGCTAGCATAGGGACCCACACACATCCTGGCGGTCAGTGAGACCTGAGAGCTGGGAGGGCTCTTAGCGTTGTTCCCACCTCTCTCGTTCGACGGAGAGCAGACAATACGTTCATATGACAACAGCTCGCATTTATAAATCATTTTACGTGCATTATCTCATTTGATCCACACTCACAACTTCAAGTCGTAGAAAGTGCAACTAATTTCCATTTTACTTTAAACTGAGGTTCAGAGAGAAGTGACTTGCTCAAGGTCACACAAGGAGTAAGGCAAAGAGTTTATGAAGCGGTCTTCAAATCCAGCGCTTTTAAAGGAGACACCACATTGCCTCTCTGCAAATACTGGCACACACACACACACACACACACACCCAGCATAGCTCAGAGCCTAGTGGCGAATGGGGAGGTAGAGGGATCACCTTGTAGTTAAAGTTATTTAATTCTCAGGAGTCTGGGGGCCCGGCCCTCACCTGCACAGGCATCTTCCCAGTGGTCCCAGTTCCCAGTAAAAGAGATTGGGAGGTGCCTGGCTGTTGATATAGGCAGCCTACAGCGATGGGAGGAGGACCCAGGGGTGACCCACCCCCCACGGTAATGCCTGACCCCTCCTTGCTTCCCCCATCCAATTCCCAGGCCAATTCTACTTTAGGAAATGCTGCCTCAGATGCTTCCCCGACAAGGCTATCTATCAGTGCCACAGAGAAAAAAGGTAGGTGTTTGAGGAATGGAGAAGATTCCTTAAGGTTTCAACTCATCATCACTTGTCTCCCCCGCCCCCGCCATTAAGTTCTAGGGGCCCAAGGGAGACAATGATGAATAAGACCTAGTCTCTACTTTACAATTTAGAAGTGTATAGGACTTACATACAAATAACCACAAAAATCTCTCCTCCCTGTCCTCCCTTCAATTTTAAATTCTTTTATTCGGAATATAATTAGGATGCCAGCCCCAGTATCAGTAACAAAGCAAAGAGTCCAGGCCTCCCAAAATGACATATTTAATGAGAGGAACCCTGGAGCTCCAAATTCTTATGCAAATATTAAATATGAGCATCCTGACCCCCTTCTTCCTGTCCCCCCTGCCCCTTCCCAGGGCCTGGCTGATTCCAGCTTGGCCACATTTCCAACTGCCCGCTCAAGCCAATTCTGATCAGTTGCGTGTTACAAAGCCTGGATTGTTGACAGCAGATTAGGGATTAAAGTGCCGCAGCCGCCCCTGCTGCTGTCAGCACATTCCTGGGCCTGGGCGCTCTCTCTGGCTCTGCCTCCATGGGCTCCAGTGGGGGTGGTCAGTCTTTTCCCACAGCCCTGAAGCACAGAGGCCCCGAAAGCACAATCTCTGTCTCCTCTTTGCCTCCAACACCATATACATCAGTTACCTGGACTTGGGTTGGGATGGGAGAGAGCTAGAGTTTGCAGTACTTTGCAAGGATGGTGTGATGTGATGGGGACAAAACAAACAAATAAGGGACCAGAAGACCTGAGTTCTGCCACTTGTTAGCTGTGAGAACTTTGGCAAATAGATCTTTAGGTGTGAATCCTGCCTTTGGCACTTAGCATTTGTTTGACTGGGGGGTGGGGGAGAGGTCACAACTTCCCTGAACCTCAGTTTCCTCATTTGTAAAATGGTGATATTCCCCTCCAGGCTTCGCTCTTGACTCTCTGGACTTCTTCCACTCCAGCTGCCTGGTAGTGGTGGGGGGAGATACCTCACCCTTCTACCTCCCGACATGCTTTTTTGGCTTCCTTTTATGTGTGGTCTTCCTACGTTAGAATATAAACTCCCTGAGGGCAGAGACTATCTTTCTGCTTATATTTGTATTCCCAGCACTTAGCACAGTGCCTGGCTGTTAATAAGCTTGTTGACTTGACTCAACTCATTTGTAAAATGATGGTGTTGGAATAGATAACAATAGAAGCACAGACCTAGAACAAAAAGAGACCAGAGAGGCCTTGTAGTCCAACCCCATCATTTTACAGATAAGGAAATTGAGGCAGGGGTGATGTTATCTGAATTATTCAAGGTCACAGAAGAAGTAGGCATCAGATTTGTTGTAGTTCAGCCATTTCAGACGTGTCTGACTCTTCGTGACCCCATTTGGAGTTTTCTTGGCAAAGATACTGGAATAGTTTACCATTTCCTTCTCCAGCTCATTTTACAGATGAGGAAACTGAGGCAAACAGGGTGAAGTGACTTGCCCAGGGTCATACCACTAGTAAGTGACTGCGGCCAGATTTGAATTCAGGAAGATGAGTCTTCCTGACTCCAGGTCCAGCACTTTATCCGCTTGTAAGTAGGATTTAAAGTCTCATTCTCTGCCAGGCCTCTTTTACAGTATTAAGATGCTTTAAGGTTTGCCAAGCATTTTACATGCATCATCTCCTTTCAGTCTCACAATAACCCTATAAGGCACGTTATTGATGTATTCTTATCTCCATTTCATATATGATTAAAGTGAAGCTCAGAAAGGTTAAGGGACTTATTCTTGGTCACCCTGCATGTGAGCGTCAGGGACTGGATTGGAACACAGTTCTCTCCTGGCTCAAAGTCCAGTGCTATTTACACTATACCACCACGGAGTTTCTTTCTAGGATAATTTAGATACTCTAAGGTCTCTTCCAGGTCTAGCATCCTATGATTTTGTGGTCACCATGAGTAAGTAACTAGTGGGTGGAGATGGATGGGAGTAGCTGGTGGCATTGAGGAAAATCCTGGGAAAAGTATGTTCTCTGTAGGCGGTGGAGTGGGGTGGCTGGAGGGAAGCTCTTGGCCATCAGCCATGTCTTTTGGGCTGATGACCAAGTTCACAGGGAGGAGGGGGCTGGGATAATTTGGGCGAAGGCTCTTTGGTTCCCTGAGATGATATGAGCTCATAATAACCACTTCGGTTGGCTTGTTTATGGGATCAAGTCCAAACCCCTTCACAATATGTCTCTACCCTCATTCCTTTACAATATGTCCCTACTCTTGTTATTCAACTTTGCCTCCCACTTTTCCCTAATGTGAGCCCTCAGCTATAATCAGACCAGGCTCTCTTTATTACCTCCTAATCATGTAATACTCATTCCTGCCTTTGCATTTTTTTGTGTTCTTGGATTGCCTTCTCTTTCTTTCCTGCCTTTCCAAACACTACCCTTTTTTATGTCCTTGCCTAGATCTCACCTCCTCCATGAAGCGTTCTCCGAGTACTTCTGTCCATGATTTATTTTTCCCTTTCCTGACCTCCTATAGTATTTTCTCTTTCTTTTCCCTTGGTGGTCTCATCAATTCCCATAACTTTGAGTATTGCCTCTATATAAATTGCTCCCAAAGCTGTTTTTCCAGCCCTAACTCTAGTCCCACATTTCCATCTGCCTTCAGGACATCTCTCCCTGAAGGTCTTACTGGCATCTCAAATTTGCTATGTCCAAAGGGGAACTTATCTTTTAAAAAATATTCTATTTATGCCCTTTTAAACATTGCTATAATTTCCCAATGATTCTTTGTACTCCCAATACAATCTTCTCTTGTAACTAAGTACAGTTAAGCAGAAAACAAACAAAAAATCCCAAACCCCTAAAAAAACCACAACTCACATTGACTATGTCTGACAATCTATGTTTCATTCTGCACCTTTAGTCCACCATCTTTCTGTGGGAGGTACTATTAGTCCTCTGAAGACATGACTGGTCATTACATTGATCAGATACATGAAATTTATCAAAGTTGAAGAAATTATTATCCTTTTCTTCCCCCCTCTATCCCAACTATCTCTTCTTCAAGATTGATTTCTCTATTTCTGGTAATGAGACCACCATTTTTGTAGTCAGCCAGGCTAGAATCTTCAATGCCACCTCTCCCTCTCCCTCTCCCTCTGTTCCAATCTCCCTCTCCCTCCAGCAATTAGTGGTCAAATCCAATTGATTCTAACCCTGCAATACATTTGGTGGGCATTTCTACTATCCCAGTTCAAGCTCTCATCACCTGTTCTTAGACTATAATAGCCTCAACTAATGTCCTGCCTCCAGTTTCTTTCCCCTCCAATCTATCCATATCCTTGCCAAAGTCATCTTCTTAAAGCACAGGTCTGACCATTCACTGTCCTGCACAAAAAACTCTAATGGCTCCATTGCCTACTCAGAAAAAATCATACTACTCAGTGTGACATTTAAGGCCCTTCCCCAATTTGGTTCCAAGTTACTTTCCCAGTTTTATCTGTTGTATGACCTCAAGACCTGGAAAACAACAGCCTCTGAAGAGTTGAAAATGAATATTAGACAGGGGGCAATGGAGAGTTTCCTGGAGGGTGTGGGCAGGGTGCCCCATATAACCAATGAGGAGCTTTGAAGAACAAAAGATATCAGTGAAACACATTTGAGGAAAATTATATAGACTTGTCATTCGGGGAGGATGAGGGGTCAGGGATGAGGAGTAGAGAGGTCAAGTGCTCCAACTAATATCCTTTCCATGTCAGGAGTAAATGAGGAAAGCTTGTTATTGAACCCTTTGTGGCCAATGTTTGGGAGAATGATAAAAAGAATAATATACAAGGTGCATGAATGGATGAGCTACAGTTTGCATCTTTGGTGGGAACATCCAAATTGATGAGATTACAGAGCATTTGAATATCTTACAGTACCGCCGACTATTCCCCTTGCCCCTAAATGTCTCTTCAATTTCTTTTCTCTGGATCTTTACTTCTGTTATTCCCTATACCTGGAGTGCTGTCCCCTATCTCTTATTGAAATCTTATGCATTGCTTTGTGGACGAGGCAAAATACCTAATTTTCCATGAAGCTTTTCCAGATTTCTCCACTAGGGAGGATGGTTTTTCCATTCTCTGGAATTTCTTAGTCCTTCATTCAGTCCCATAGTGTACTTGCATTTGTATTTTAATTAATTGTGTACTTGTCTTCCTTTAGATCAAGGGTTATTAATCTGGGGTTTGTGAACTTGTGAAAATATTTTGATAACTATATTTCAATATACTTGGATTCCTTTGTAATCCTATATATTTTATTCATTAAAAACATTTATTCTGAAAAGAAGTTCTTCACCAGACAGCCAAAGCGATCCATGAAGCATAAAAAAGATGAAGAACCATGGTTTTAGAGTCAGGGGTGGGCAACCTGCAGCCTCGAGGCCACATGCAGCCTTCTAGGTCCTCAAGTGTGGTGCTTTGAGTGAACCCAAACTACAAGTTCAGTCAAAGGGCTGCACTTGAGGACCTAGAGGGCCGCATGTGGCCTGGAAGCTACAGGTTCCCCACCCTTGTCTTGGATTTTAAACCTCTCAAGGGCACAGTAACATTATTCAATTTATTTGTGTATCCTTGATTAACCTAAACATAAGAAGAAACGCTCATATAATTTTTGTTGAATGAATGAACCATTCATTTTCAATATTTGATTTGCAAACATTGACCGTATTGTGAACCTTTCTCTTTCCAAAGCATTTTTTCTTACAACAATCCTGTCTACTATGTAGTACAATTGTCATCATTACTTTTTGA